TGCCATGCCCTGGGTGCCACACTGGGTACCCTGGGTCCTGTGCACTGCCACATTTCCAACCCACAGCAGAAGCGTTCCAAGGGGGAAGCTCTCCTGGGCACCCAAGGCTGCTCAGCAGGGTGCAGGCCCATGGCTGGACTGGGGTTGGTGCCCGGGCAGGAGCCCTGTGGCAGGACAGGGGCCCCTGGGCACACGGCCCTGTGCTGGTCATTAGACTCCATCCCCTCCCTCTGTGTTTTAAAGCCCTATTCTTTCCTCTTCCCTCTGATAAGGCATGCTAATGATGGGATGAAATCGGATAGTTCGGGCGCCTCCTCCTCCTCATGGAGCTCTTGTGCTCGTTAATTTACTGGTTTTAATGGCCTGATTGTTCTCCTGTGCTGGGAGAACCACGGGAGCCCCTTTGGCCCTGGTCAGAGGGCAGGAGGTGATGCTTGAAGGCAGCTGAACCTTGGTGCTCAAGAATTGCAGAGGCATTTGGAGACCCAAATCTTGAATTCCTTGGTGCTTCCTTCAGCCTGCTCACGAGCTGCTCGGTGCAGCCCCCTCGGCATCCATCCCCCTCTGCCCGGGGTGGAAGATAAACCTTGCAAATTAAGGAGGTTTTCCTCGGCTCCACAAGTAATTGCAGAGCCCCAGATCTGCAGGCAGAGCTCCCTGGCTTCTTTTTGACCTGGGTACTGCTGCCACGGCAGCCTGGGGGATGCTGGCACCGAGGGATGCTGGCACCAAGGGTGCCCGGTGCCCCTGGGTGCTGCTGCTGCCTGGTGGGTGCAGAGTGATGCTCAGCCACGTCCCACTGAGGGGTTTTGGGGCTGGGCAGGAGGATGGTGATGGAGGTAGGTGAGGAACCATCCCTGCTGGACCCACTCTCTGGTTGTGAGGGTGCAGAGCGCCTGGGAAACGCTGCTGCTGGGCTCTGGGGGAGCAGAGGGGGTGCCCCAGCCCTGGCTGCTGACCCAGGGGGGGCAGATTTCCTCCCCAGGGCTGGCTCCATCCCCTGGGACCCTCACAGAGCCCTGGGCAGGTACAGGGGGTGAG